ATTTGACAATAAATTTCATATATAAATTAAAAAAAAAAAAGAAACTTACCATCAATAGGAGAGGGATCAGACGTACCCACATGAAACAGGGAATGAGCCACTTCAAATTACACTATAGGTCCTATTTCTGAAAGGCAGGAGAGTTCAGAAAAGAAAGACATTATTAAGGGAAGCAGAAGCTTCCAGCAGGGAGGGTGGGAGCAAAGCTGGGCTCTGAAGAAGGAATGGGAATAGCCAAAGTGAAGGAAGAGTTTGAGAGCAGGTAGAACTGCATGATGCAAATCAGGAACACCAGGGTGAGTGTGGTGAACACAGAGGAGAACGAGAAGCTAGTCACGAAAGTTTTGGAGCCCTGAGATTGGAATGGTAGGGCAGGGCCAGACTGAATAATAATAATAGCAGCCAGCCTTGATTAAACACTTAGTCCATGTTAAGCCCTTTGCATGCATCATGTCGTTCAGTCCTTATTACAGTTCAGCGAAGTGGGTACTACAATTTGTACCCACTCTGCAGATAAAGAAAGTAAAACACTGTGAGACATTCACACATGTCACACAGCCAGGAAGTTGGCAGAGCTAGTAGTCCAAGCTAGTCATTGGGACTTCAGAACTCACAGTCTTAACCAAAAGGCCTCAGAGGCCAAATGGAGGGAGGGAAGGAAGATCCGGCACAGTGTCATACACACCAGAGGTACTTCAGTGGATTGAAGGGGAATGAATGAAGCCATAGGCAAATATTTGACAATACTTTTCCAAACTATGCTCTCACAAGCATTCCAGTTCCTGTTTATTAGTCTCTTTTCCAAAGAAGACATCCAGACACATGAAAAGATGCTCAACATCACTCATCATCAGGGAAATATAAATCAAAACTCCAATGAGATACCACCTCACACCTGTCAGAATGGCTAACATTAACAACTCAGGCAACAACAGGTGTTGGTGAGGATGCAGAGAAAGAGGATCCTTTTCACACTGTTGGTAGGAATGCAAACTGGTGCAGCCATTCTGGAAAACAATGTGGAGGTTCCTCAAAAAGTTAAAAATAGAACTACCCTATGACCCAGCAATTGCACTACTAGGTATTGATCCAAAGAATACAAAAATGCTGATTCAAAGGGGCACACGCACCCCCAATGTTTATAACAGTGCTATCAACAATAGTCAAATTATGGAGAGAACCCAAACAAATGTCCATTGACTGGCTAATGGATAAAGAAGATGTGGTGTGTGTGTGTGTGTGTGTGTGTGTGTGTGTGTGTGTGTGTGTGTGTGTACAGTGTTCAAAAAGGATGAAATCTTGCCATTTGCAACAATGTGGATGGAACTATAGTGTATTATTTTAAGTGAAATAAATCATAGATAAATATCATATGATTTCACTCATATGTGGAATTTAAGAAACACAACAGATGAACATAGGGGAAGGGAAGGAAAAATAAGATAAAAAGAAAGGGAGGCAAACCATAAGATACTCTTAACTACAGAGAACAAACTGAAGGTTGCTGGTGGGGATGTTGGGTAGGGGGATATATACATACATATATGCTGGTTCAAATTTATTTTGAAAATACAGATTTCAGTAAGTATAAATTAAACAAGACTAAGCTATTAAAAAATAGTCTCAGCAAGTGTTTATTAAGTTACATCTGGCAAATGAGAATTAGCCCATGGGTATCACTTATCTAATGCCAAGAAGTTTGGTGGTGACTGACTCCTGCAAGATATGAAGAGATGAGAGGGAGGGTGGCTATTCAAAAAACTTGAATTGCTCATGACTTGCTTGGGTTTCCTTTGTTTCTGGTAATGGGTAGAGCCTGCCATCTGTTCCATGGATCCCAAAACAGAGGTTACAAGCACAGATCAGTTTCTGTCAGTCCCCATTCTCATCCTTTGCCTTCTCCTGTTTATTTCTCCTAGATACAGCTTATTGAAAGCATTGGCAGAAAACTGTCGGTCCTGCGGGAAGCCCAGCGAGGACTGCTAGAGGACATCAGTGCCAATTCTGCCCTTGGGGAGGAGGTGGAGGCCAACCTGAAAGCTGTCTGTAAATCCAATGAGTTTGAAAAATACCGCTTGTTTATTGGGGACCTGGACAAAGTGGTCAACCTGTTGCTGTCACTCTCTGGACGACTAGCCCGGGTGGAGAATGCTCTCAACAGCATTGATTCAGAAGCTAACCAGGAGAAGGTAGAGTTGGGGTCTCTGGGGTATAGATGGAGGTAAATGCCATTGGCTTCTTCTCAGGGCCCCCTCTTTCAAGTTTGGCTTGTCTTGGAGACAGTAAAGGATAATGTTAAGAGTGGGGGCACTGGCTTTTAAGTGCCTTGCAATTCTGGCTCTACCAGTAATTAGCTATGTGACTATGGGCAGCTTACTTAACCGTACTCTACCTCAGTCTCTTAAAAAATGGGGTGAACACACTACCTAACTCATGGGATTGTGAGAATTAAATTAGTCCACAGTAATTACTTAAAACAGGTCCTGGAATAGGGTAAACACTGAATCAGTTCTAGTTGCCAGTAGTAGTAGTAGTAGCAGTAGTAGTGGTGGTGGTGGTATTGATAGTGATAGTGGTAGTAATAGTAGTAATGGTGGTGGTGGTATTGATGGCAATAGTGGTAATAATAGTATTAGTGGTATTTGTACCGATGGTGGTAGTAATAGTAGTAGTAGCAATAGTGGTGTGGGTATTGGCAGTGATGGTGGTAATAAAGCAGTAGTGGTGGTGGTAGTGGCATTGGTGGTGATAGCAGTAATAGTAGTAGTAGTGGTATTGGTACTGATGGTGGTAGTAATAGTAGTAGAATAGTGGTGGGGGTATTGGTGGTCATAATGGTGGTAGTAGTAGTACTAGTACTAGTACTAGCAGTGGTAGTAGCAGCAGCAGCAATTTTACCTCACTTTCTCTCTGAGTTAGAGGAAGAGATCTCACCAAGTAGTTGAAATTGGGAGTCTGTCATTTTCATGGGTTGGGCCACACTGTGTACATTCCAGAACCAAACCTACATCACCTTTCCATATACAAGTGGTTTGGGATACAAATTTGAATCCACAATAAGAAGCACTCAGGCATGTGCATACACACACAGACACATACACTCACACATGTACACCCACACAGAGACACATACCATCTTGAAAGCACTGTCATAGTGATACCTATTCTTCAGGTGGAAGGGGTCTGAGCTGGCTTTGTCAGAGCCTTCCCCCACCCTAACCCCAGGGGTGGTCCATGGATTAAAGACAGCTTAGAGATGGAAAGAGGTGAATGCATGTAGCCCCGCCCAGTATCACTGTTGTGTTTATCCTCCCCCTGCCATAGCACAGAAGAGCTTTTGCCTGAAGGTGGACTTCAGGGCAGGAAATATAGGACTGATCAGTTAACAGAGTGGGGAGCTGCTGTGCTCCCCTGTGGAGCAGTGAGTTAGGGAGATGACTAGTAACTGGGATGGCTCTTAATTGGTCTATCTGATTCCCCAGTTGGTGCTGATAGAGAAGAAGCAGCAGCTGACAGGGCAGTTGGCAGATGCCAAGGAGCTGAAGGAGCATGTGGACCGCCGGGAGAAGTTGGTGTTTGGCATGGTCTCCCGCTACCTGCCTCAGGACCAGCTCCAAGATTACCAGCACTTTGTGAAGATGAAATCTGCTCTCATCATCGAACAGCGAGAGCTGGAAGAGAAAATTAAGCTTGGGGAAGAACAGCTCAAATGTCTCAGGGAGAGCCTACTCCTGGGGCCCAGCAATTTCTAATTCCACCAGCAGACTGTCACACCATCCCTGCCCAGCCACAACGGGAAGTGCTTTCAGTCTTCGTTAGCAGTTTGTTAGCAAGTAGATAGCAGTTTAGTTAGCAGTTTGTTCCATATCCTCTACCTTGGACATCTCTCACTGCCCCTTACCTAGCATTGCTCCCAACCAGCTAGGAGTTCCTGATGAGGCCCCCAAGCCTCTACTCTAGGGAATAGATACAAGAGCTAGGAGCTGCCTGCAGCAAAGGGTGATCATACAACCACACTCCCCTTCCCACGGTTTGCACAGGCAAGTGCTCACCACACACAGAACCAACAAAGTGCCTTCATTCTTCTTGGTCCAAGGACTGCAAAGACACCATGCACTCACCACCCACCCATGCCCCAATCAGCCTCTCAAGGCTCAGAGAGAAGCTGCCTGTTCAGCTCCATTCTGCCCAAGGCTCAAAGCCCAGCCATTTCCCACAGAGATCTGGCTGTCTTGAGAGCATCACTTCCCACCAGTTTAAGGGCCTCACCTAAGCTTTACAGTGGGAAGCACAGAAGGAGAAATTACACTAAACAGAATGTGAGCAAAGATCAGGAATCCCTAGGTGCCCTGCCGAAGCTAGGTTTAAACAAATGGGCTCCACCCCCACTGGCCCCAGCATCTGGTTGAGGGGGAAGAGGCCTACTCCAACTAGTGTGGCCCTCCTCCTGTCCTCATACTTCTGGCTTACCACTTCCTGTTCCATCTTGCCTTTTCATTGCCAGCGGTCACCGGTGCCTACCCTAAGGGCTTCACACTATGGACCATTAAGCTCTACCAAAGCTGACTTCTGGATACCCATTTCATTATTGGGGTGAGGGGTTCTTTGTTGTATTTTAAATGGCCTTTTGATTTTATTTATTTTTATTTTTTGATTTATTTTTTTCCTTTTGTAACTAATAAGGTGAGAAGAGGAGAGGTGGAAAGGGAAAAGGAATCCTAGAAGGAAAGCATGTTCTGCAGATCAGCCTGGATTCACCATGGCTAGATGAGGGAATGCCAATACCTTGAATTCTTCCCACCAAACACTACAAGTGTATAAGAAAGGAGTTCTCACCTTGAACTTAATTTACTATGGCCTGGCCCTATACTAAAGTCAGCAATGACCATAAGCTTAGCATTCCCCAATGGATTTCAGTTTTTTACTTATTTTTTCTCAAAACCAAAGATATCCAAAACTGACAAAAGTTCATCACCCATTTTTCTACTATCTCCCATCTAAGGAAATGGGTATAAGTGAACTCAGGAGGAGATCCCTCTATCTCACAATTGCTTTCTCAGCCTGTGGCCTGACTCAGGGAACTGAAAGTCATGGTAGCTGGAAGCTCCAGCCAGGGCCAGCCCCCCAGAGCAAATTATGATCCAGCCAGGATCTTAGGCACACAAACAACTAATGCTGCTGTTGTTGCCAATTCCCTGACACCACTAGCCAGTTTCTGTCCTGGAAAATCCCTCAGGTGGGTGATGGCAGGAAGGGAATTGCGGCCAAACTCTGGCTTGTTATCCAGCTCAATTCCCCATTCCTTGCTCACTGGCACCCACGGTTCATATTGCACAGCTCTGCCCAACAAACCTGGGCATCTCTTCTAGTTACTGCTGAGTTCCTCAGGATCCTTGGAGGTTAACTGTAACAGCAGGGATGCCTCATTCAACCAAAGGATTTGCCAAAGAACTTTGCTGCTGCTACAAATAGTGGTCTCTAGCTTCAGTTTCCTTTCATTGTATTTGAAAACAATGGAAGAATCTTGGCCAGCAGGGTGTCCTGAGGGGGGCCCTGGGTATGCTCTTAGTACACTGCTGCTCTCAGAACCACTGTTAAAATGTCAACCTGCCATTCTCCCCTCAACTGGGGAAGTCTACCCTATTCACAAAGGCCGATGGCTCCTAAAGGGCTAGGCTTACCCAAGCCACATTTGAGGAAGGTGGGGGAGTGCTATGAATAGAAGCTATGGTTACCATCTTTTTTTTTTCTTAAGCAGACTCTAGGATAAACAATGAGTAAGTTGAGACATCCTATGTTGGGGGGTGAGGCCAATGTAGTCCATCATTCTAAGATTTTCTGGGGCCAGAATAGCTTTTTGGGAACACAGGCCGAGGGAAGAGTGGTCACTTGCCTGGGCATGATGACTGTGGTCTGGGTTTCTCTAGTCAGTGTTACATTGCTTGTACATTAAATTTCTCACACAAAAAAGTACTATTGATTGTATTATTTTTGTCCCTTATCCCACCTGAAATTAAAGTTGAAACCAGAACACAAGGATGCTCACTTTCACACAGAAGAAGGGTGGTTTCTAAAACAATATAATAACCACCAACCTATACTGAGCAGTGAAGCTTGGCAGACAGGTGAAGTACCAAAAGGGAACTAATGCCCTGCGCTGCTGAGGCAGCAGTGCCATCATGCCTCATAGTGCTTCAGAGCTGCGATGTGGTGTCTCTCCCGTGTTCTCATTTCCTGGGCTCAGCCCTCTTGCAAGGCCTGCCAGGGGTAAGCAGTTTGGAAGGCAGGCCAAGGGATTTCCCCAAAGACAATTACTGGTCTTAATTTTTGCCCTCTCTCTTCAGATACTCATATAGGCCCCAGTGGGTAATAGGTTGATCTAGAGAGAGGAGTCAGTACAAGAGTTACTATCACTTGTCCCTTCTCACTCCCCCACCCCCACCTAGATAATTGAGTCTCGAGTCCCACCAGTTGCAGACCCAGCCAGGGTATAGTGGTAAATGCTCAAGGGAAACCTGAGAGAAAGAGGCAGACACACTAAAAGCTCTAGAAAGGGAGAGACTGGAAGCAGAGGAACTGAGAGGGTGAAAGACGAAAAGTTTTTTTCAAGGCCAGAGTCAGGTTCTGTTTTCCATTTAACCTCAAGTGTCAAAAAGCTGCCCTGGGCACTAGAGCCATAACCTTTAACCCCCCATCTCCCTGAAGGTGCTGCTCTGTCAGTAGTACCAAGTCCCAGATGGAGGAAGCTGGGCACATATATGGCCACTCCCTTCTGTCTGGAGCTTGGTGACTCCCACTGTCTTTGCCAAAGGAGTTGTCTATGCCAATAGTATTTCTGTAACAGCCTATTGTATTCTTGGAAGATTAGTAGATCTTTAGAGGGGGGTGGGGCAGGGGACAGTTTCTATAAAGAACCAGTGTTTGTTGTACAACTGTTGGGGGTCATCTATGCCATGTTATTATTTTTCTGAATCTTATAGTTTCTGCAATTGTGTCCTCCACCATTCCCTTCTTGGCTGACATTGATATGTCTGCCAGATGGTCATCAAGGGTTATACTTCAATAAAAGGTGCTAAGGACAAAAAAAAAAGAAATTATCTCACGTGTTTTGACTGAAGTGATGGAAATTCTCTAATATTCTGCTGAAAAATATTGGAAAACAATTTGGTCACATATCAATAATCCTTCATATGTAACTATGACCAGAGTCTTGCCCACATCCCTAAACTCTTACCCTGGCCCATTGGGGATAGCATTGATGCTATACCATTCATTATCCCCAGTAAAATAATTCAGAATTCAGGAAGACTCAACAATAAGTGTAATCTCAAGTATAGACCTCAGTAGTATACAGAGTGCACTTCTGGAGTCTAGCCTAATCAGAGAGCTGAGACACCTTCTACACCTCCTCCAATCTTGAGTTCTACTATCTTCTACCTAATAGTCCAGTCTTATACCTTCCTCTTAGCAACCTGGAAAACAAGGTTCTCACTGACCAGCTCTCTCTAAATAACCTCATTTAGACCCAAATGCACTCCAGGAACCAACTCTGACACTTAAAAGCCTACATTTTCCCTCAGTCTACACATTGTTTAAATTCCAACTGATCTCCTAGGTATCCAGTGTGGTAGAGTGGAAAGAGCCCAGCTTTGGCATTAAAGTGAAATGTGTTCAAATCCTGGTTTTGCCACTTATTATATGAACCTGGGTTATTTTTTCAACTTTTGAGTTCATTTTTTATCTGTAAAATGGGAATAATAATATGTACCTTGTATAGTTGTGGCTTGAAAATAATAAATGAAAGTTACCAGCTGTCTACTGAGAAATGGTTAGAAAGGCAGAATCCCAGCTCCACCCCATGCCCACTAATAGTCTGCATTTTAACTAGATTCCCAGAGGATTTATATGTATATTAAAGACTGAGAACCACTAACCTATCATAAACTTAGTACATGGTAACAACCTAATATTCTAGTCCTGATTTATTCAATTCATTCTTTTCTACTCCCAGGCATATTCTTGATCTTCTCATGCTGCTCCCAACTACCTGCCTAAATGAGTTCAGCAACGTTGAGGATACAAGTTTGATACATAAAACCACTTGTGTCTCTACACACTAGTAATCAACAATTTGGAAACAAAATTAAGAAAACAATTCCATTTAAAAAATTATAAAAAGAAAATAGGGACATGTAGGTGGCTCAGTCCATTGAGCATCCAAGTCTTGATTTTGTCTCAGGTCATGATCTCATGGTTCTGAGATGGAGCCTCATGCTGACAGCAGAGAGCCTGCTTGGGATGCTCTCTTCCTCTCTGTCTGCCCCTCCCCCACTCATGCACTCAAGCACATGTGCACTCTTTCTCTCTCTCAGAATAAACTTTAATTATAAAAAATAAAACAATTCCACTTACAATAGCATCAATAAGAACAAAACAGGAATACATTTAATGAAACAAATGTAGGAATTTTATACTGAAAACTACAAAAATATTGTTGAAAAAAATTAAAATCTAAAAAAGTACTTAGACTAAAATCTATTTTAGATAACAATACTCCCCAAATCGATCTACACATTCAATCTGAAAGAATCTTAGCTGTCTTTTTTGCATAAATTGAAAAGTCAAACCTAAAATTCATATGAAATTGCAAGGGACGCAGAATAGTCAAAACAATCTTTAAAAAGAACTTGGATGGGGCACCTGGGTGGCTCAGTCGGTTAAGCGTCCGACTTCAGCCAGGTCACGATCTCGC